AAATCCTTGCACAAAAAGCATTGTGTTTCAGGCATTGTTATTATTGTGCAAATTCTTTAATCCTTATTCAGGCCAGGTCTACAGGTAGTGTAGACATACCCTCAGAGGGTTCTTCTAGACCCCCATTCTGCTTACACCCCAGTTTAAATTCCATTTAGTTTACCTCATCTTCGTGCACTGCATACATTGTGATCATATAATGGACAAGTCAGGGAACAATTTGGCCCAATAGGAATTTTGCCTGTGTGAGGACTGTGTAGGAACTCCAGGAGCTGAACTCTAGTGGGATTTTTTATGTATGAAATTAAATTAAAGAATTTATTTTAAAAACTACTCTCTGGGTGGCCTCAGTTATTATCAGCCACCTATAATGTTTTTCATTAATCCAATTAGTTCATACACTGTATTAACTCAAGATGCATCCTACTCAGTATCCAAGGGTAACAGGCTCTAAAACTAGATATAACATTTTAATATGCACAAACTCTATTGAGTTCCATAGATTAATGAAGAGTTTAGGCTACAGCAAATAACCTAGGTATAAACTTGCTGAGGTCACAGGATATGGAACCTTCTTCCTGACTCCTGAATTAATGAAGAGTTTAGGCTACAGCAAATAACCTGGGTATAAAATTGCTGAGGTCACAGAATATGGAACCTTCTTCCTGACCCCTGGCTGTTGCCAAAGGTGTGAAATGCAGGCCAGTGTTGTACAATAGCACACAATGTTGTACAATAGCATAGGTGTGAAATGCAGGCCAGTGTTGTACAATAGCACACAATGAGCTCTGCAGTATACACAAGGATGTCAGTAGAGGTGTCTTTAGCAAACTTGACACCTGTGCAGTGGAATGCTGAAAAGTAGACCACTCAGGCCACTGATGGACAGTACTGGGAAGCAGGTCTGGCAACAGACTTTTCCCAGCTCTGGACAATGGAGAGGAAGGGGTTTCGGTTCCCCCCACCCCTGGAAGACGGGGTGGGGTATGGGGCAGCTAGCCCTCAGCATGGCCCATACGGAGCCTCTTAGGGCTCCAGCAGCAATTTAAAGGACCCAGGGCTCTGGCTGCCACTGCTGCCATATTAACAGCTGTGATGGCTTGGAGCCCTGGGCCTTTTTAAATCGCCCTTTTAAACTGCCTCTCCCATGGGCGGCACTGCTGAGAGGGCTACTTCCATCAATGGGGTTATGACACCAGTGCTTGCAGTCTACTACTAAGGCAACAGTCAGCTGTTGTGTTCACAGCAACTCTACTTCTAAGTGTGATCACCTGCACACTACTGGGAACCCCGGTGTGTGTGAATGCAATGTGTATTTTGCACTGTAAATGCAGCTCTGTGCTCCCTGAAGGAGCACAGCCTTGAATGGAAGGGGCAGGACAGGGGCCTAGCCTTCCTCTACCAACCCTTGGGCTCTGCCTGGAACATGCTACCTGGCACTCTGATGGCAATTTAAAGGACCCAGGGCTCTGGCTGCCACTGCTGCCATATTAACAGCTGTGATGGCTTGGAGCCCTGGGCCTTTTTAAATCGCCCTTTTAAACTGCCTCTCCCATGGGCGGCACTGCTGAGAGGGCTACTTCCATCAATGGGGTTATGACACCAGTGCTTGCAGTCTACTACTAAGGCAACAGTCAGCTGTTGTGTTCACAGCAACTCTACTTCTAAGTGTGATCACCTGCACACTACTGGGAACCCCGGTGTGTGCGAATGCAATGTGTATTTCAGGTGTACTAGGAGGAGCCAAACTTCTCAATATATTGTTTAAATGTCCTTTCTTTGATTCAACAATTTTATTTGAGAAAACATAGTCAAAGACTGGGGTTCAACTCTGTTCTGCCACAGACTTCCTCTTTGATCACTGGCAAGTTACAGAGTCAAGTCACAGAGGCCTTGTCATCCCTCAAAGGAAAAGGTGGGTTCTTAACCCAAATTAGCTTACACTGAAAAGAGCAGCTTTTTCCTCCCACTGCAGGAAACACCGATATTTACATTTCTTGCAGAATCTCAGAAGTTCCGTTAAAAAAAACCTTTGAACAGTCTCCACTTTGTTATACAGAAGAGCTTCTGCATGTTTGTAAGGAGTCAATACAGTTACATTGTCTCTCATTTAGAAACTGAAAATTGAAATGTTTATTTTATATTTAAAAACCCTATGCTACTAGTTACATAATTCTGAATCACTTTGCCAAACTGTAAGCTTTTCAATACTTATTATTTCTAAAAACACCTTTTATTGTTTAAAGATGTACAATCTTGTAGATATTTTGTAGGTTTAATTTTATTAAAAGAATGCAATTTTATATTAAGACCTGTAATGCCCCCTTGTGTACCTTTCTAGGACTACATCTACACTACAGCAGAAAGTGGATTTAAGGTACACAACTCCAGGTAGGTGAATTACATAGCTGGAGTCGACCTACCTTAATTCAAGTTACACCAACTTAACTTGGGGGGGTTGATGGGAGAAACTCTCCTGTCGACGTCTAACTTTTCTCGACTAGGGATGTTAACAATCATGGGGTTTTTGTAAAGGTGTAACTGCTTAATTTTTTAGCGGTGACACATTTGCAAGCGGGGGGCCAGATGAGGGGCTGCTGCTTCTGATACAGAGGCAGCAGCATGGGAGGGAGGAGCAGGTGGTTTGGCAGGCCCTGGTGCAGGTGGGGAGCCAGCTTGAAAGGCTCCCCACAGGCAGCGGCTCCCACCTCCCCCCTCGCCTTGCTGCTCAGGCTTATTGGTTAATAGTGTAACTGCTTTTCAGTCAATTCTGTTACTCTGCCCTGCATGAGAATAGGGATGTTAGCATGTACCCAATCTGTGGTCTATCTGGCAGGTCTTCATTATACCTGCTAAATTGACTGCCAGTGGACATTCTCAGAGTCTCAATCCCCACAGTAGTGTAGATGTAGCCTAACATTTAAACAATTAAGCTACCAAAGAAATATATGCAGCAAGAGGCAGTGACTCTAGCAAAAATTTGTGCAGTATTTCAAGCCAAATCCTGCATTCAGTGATACGTGTGCAAACTCAAAGACTCAGCACTGTAAATTTACATTATTTCAGCACATTCACTACATATAGTTCCATAGAAACACTTGTGAACTTCTTGCATACCATCCATAATATGGGTGAAATCCTGGCCGCATTAAAGTTAGTGGGAGTTTTGCCATTGACATCAATAGGGCAAGAACTTCAAGATACAGAAGGTGACAGGAGCTCGAACTGTTGCAAGAGAGAAAGGGGAGTTATGAGTTGTCCCTCAGCCAGATCTTGCTTCAGAAAAGCCAGTTCAGGAGTCACAAAGAGTGCATAGAACCCAAGATGGCAGGGCCATAACCTGTCATCTACTTCGCTTGGACTAATAGCCCTGAGAGAAACATCCATATTGTTGTGCCAGTGTAAGAAAAGAAGAGGGCTACATAGGGATTTTTCTGCCTGGAGGGAGTTCATCCCTGTCCTCTTGATGTACTAAACCATAGCTCCAGAGATAACTTTTTCAAGGTAAAAGTTAATTTGGAAGGGTGAAGGTTTTACTTTGGAATCCACCACATTGCATCAAATTACATGTTTTCAAATTATTTTCCTAGGTAGAATAACATTGGATTCCTCTGTAAGGAATTGGTTGCCCTGTATCCTTTTACAAAGTGAAGAACACTTTTCCACCTTGCTTAGCCCTCAGTAGGAGCAAGGCCAGAGTGGGGCTGTCACCAGCCCTTCTTGCAGCCAGACCACAGGGGGACTTGGGCTGAGCTGAAACAGCTGCACAGGGGCTGCTTCTGCACCTCCTTTCCCCCCAGAAGTGGGGCCAGGCCACCATGGACACACAGTAAGCTGGCTGGGAGTGCACGCACCTCCCCTACAGTGTGCTCCTTTAAATTGCCTGCTCCAGATCAAGCGTCCCAGGTCAGTTCCTGCCAGAGTGCAGCCGGCTCCTACTGGAGCGGCACACTGGGGCACACCCCCTTACTTTCACCTCTGGTCTACAGAGAAACAGTATTCATAGCACAGCCAGGTACGTGCATTTACCAACCACTATGTACAACTGTTTGTACTGGTGCATTCTGGGAAAAATTGGGCTACTATCTCCAGTGTCTAATCAGGGAAATACAGTACCTGGATTACATGCACAGTGCACTCTGGGATACACAGAGAGCTGGGAGGAAGGATGCCTGGCTACGGTGGCACTTTACCAGGAAGTGTGCAGTTTAATAGTAAGGAAACCTGGAGATGTAGTTCCAGATGAAACCCTGATATAACTGGGTGTAACACCACAAAAGCCAGTGGAAACACTGAATAGGATCGGTTAGCTTTAACATAAAAGACACGGAACATGACTGTGCCCAAAGCAAAGGGAAAATTGTAATTGCAGGATTTTTTTAGTATTTCTGGCCATCATCAATGGTATAAAAGAAAAACTTTCCCCCATATGCTAACATGACATCCCTGACCTACATCATCAATCATTTATTATTATTATAATTAAAGTGGTTCATCCATATGCCTAAATGAGCACTTCCATACCAAATTAATATGCTCTGTTATTGCCAAGTAAAAATTGAAGCTCCAGAACATTAAAAGGCATTAATACATGTACTTTTTATCTACAAGAAGATAATTACCTAGTTATATGCCACTATGTAATTTCAGTTGCATCTGAGGGTACATCTGGTATCCCGAAATAGCTACCCCGTGTCTTAACAAGCTGTCCGCTGTTTTGAAATATTTTTTGAAATAATGGGTGTGCTATTTCGGCATCCCTGTAACTCTCATTCCACAAGGGTTAAGAGATGTCTCAAAATAGTGCGTTATTTTGAAAATTGGTGCTGTGTAGACGAGCCAAATTTCAAAATAAGCTATTTCAAAATAGAATCGGAATAAGAACATAAACATAAGAGTGGCCATCTTAAGCACAATAAGATATGAAATTTGCGAGTTTAGGGTGCTGCACAGACGCACCGTGAATGAAGTAAGAAATTAAAAGAAAACAAATAGCTTACCATGAAATACACCATTGTCCACTAAAAAATGTCTGCAGTACTGCAGACAACTTTTCTTATCCAGGCTCCAATAACTCATTGTAACAAGATTTCTTGCTCAGCATCAAAGACAATTACCCTGCAAAATGAAATTACCTTGTTGTTAGTATATAAACAAATATTAATTGAGTTAAGGACCCGAGCAATGCCGGGTAAATCTTTTAGTTTATAAATAATTGAAAGATGTACACTGGGTAAATCTTCTAGTTTATAAATAATTGAAAGATGCTTATATTCCCACACACACCTTATCTCTCTGTTAAACAAAAAGAAAGACATAGAGAATTATAGTTGTAATAAAGGAATGTTTATTGACATTCTTTATGTAAAATAGCCAGATAGCTTTACTCAAACTGTGATAAATGTGCCCGTTTCAAAGACACATAGGCACCTAAAAACCTAGCACACAACAGCCACAGTTTAACCCTCCAAGCTATACTCACTCAAACCTCAATTTCCCGTGTAGATGGGGGTTCCTGTTCCCATAACCAGTTTCATTTGGGTGGGGAAGGAGATTAATCTTTGAGCCATTTGTCCCTCTTCAGCCACTCCTCACCTAACCTCTGGAAAAAAAGTCAGTCAAGGTGACTCCAAAAACTTCAGGAGATGGCTCCTTTACAGTGGCACCCCTGACTAACATTCTGGTAAATGGAAAAATACTCACTGAGGGTTGAAGTCAGTACGAGTTTTCAACAGCAGTGGGGGCAAATCTGTCAAAGGGAATTAACTACAAAATGCTAGCAGCAGTACCACATGCCTCTGCCGACAGAGGCATGTAGTCTAGACACAGCCTAATAGGCCCTGAAAATGTCTCAGAACATTATAGGACAACAGCTCTAGACACCAATTTAGCTTAATCTGGCCAATAATATTTATAAATCAGTTAAAATAAAAAACACTAGGGATGTAATAGTGTAGTCGAATAACCGATTAGCAAAATCTTTATTTGACCAATTATTGATCCTTAACCAACTCTGTTCGAACAGGTCCTGCTGTCATGGGATGGATTTTGCAAGGCCCATTTCTGATAAACAAAAGGATGAAATTCTTTAAAAATGAACTTAATAAAAGGGTTTGAACAAGTAAAGCCTCGTTTTGAGATGTATCCACCAGCTTTTTAGGAATTAAATGTTATCTTCTTTGGCCATATCTACATGAGTGATCTTATAGTGGCACAGCTGTATCAGTGCAACTGCACCGATTTACAATTGTTCGTGTAGCCACTCAGTGACATCAAGAGTTCTTCTGACAAAATAACGAAAGCACCTCAATCTCTTTCGAAAGAGGCTTGCAGTCTAGACCCAGCCTTGGTGACATCAAGAGTTCTCCTGACAAAATAACGAAAGCACCTCAACGAGCAGTGATAGCTGTGTCCATGGGAGAATTTCTCCTGCTGACAGTTACTGTGCATGCTACCACTTATGAAACTTATGTCGCTTGGGAGGGGCTGTGCTTCCCACCTCTGAGCAGTATAAATTTTGCTGACATAAGTAGGAGCGTGGACGTGGCCTTTGATCCCTGAAAATAATCATTCCAATTGTATTGTCTTCTCTTGTAGTAGTGGAACAGAACTAACTCATAGGTCAAATACTCATAAGTGCTGAAGGGCTGTTTATTTTTCTCATCTCATTAGATGTTTCAGCCACACACGTTTTTCTCCTGGTCTGTCTTTCGGTAAGTCTACAATGCCACTTTACTGCACTGCAATTGAACTTGCTGCACTGTCATAGGGTTGCCATGTGTCCGGTTTTCTACTGGACAGTCCGGTGTTTGCACCGTCTGTCCGGTAGAAAAATTCAGAAAATACCGGACACGTGCAATGTCCGGTATTTTCTGAATTTCCGGCTGGGTGCCAGACAGAAGCCTGGAGGGGGCGGGGGAGCGACTGGGAAGCAGGGCCGCGATTGGCGCTGGGAGCCCTGTGGTCGTGTGCAAAAGCCGGGTGGGGCGGGGCGGGGGCAGTGGCCTCCCCCCGCCCGGCTTCTGCAAAAAACCAGAGGCTCCTAGTGCTAATTGTGGCCCTGCCTCCCAGCTGGGAACCTCTGGTTGCATGCAGAAGCTGGGTGGGGGGAGTGGCTCCCCCCCA